TAATCGATTCTGATTTCAAAATTTGTTTTACTATTAATTATTTAAATAAAATACAAAATTAGTTTTATTGAGAAAAATCAGAATTCTGATAAAATATAAAAAATTCTGATTAATTAGTTCTGATTAATTCAAACAATTAATTCTGATTGAAAAAATACAAATTAATTTGCATTTTGAAAAGTTAAAATACATTTATTATTTTACTCTTCTGAAAAATCAGAATTAATTAATTCTGATAATTATTCTGATTTTTATAAATTATATAATTGTATTTTCCTTTGATTAAATCAGAATTATTTAATTCTGGTTAATTAATTATTCTGATTTAATTGTATTTCAATTAATATCAGAATTATTTGTATTTTACTAAATCAGAATAATTTGTATTTTCATTCAAATCAGAATTATTTAATTCTGATTAATTAATTATTCTGATTTAATTGTATTTCACTTATATAAAATCAGAATAATTTGTATTTTATTAAATCAGAATAATTTATAATTCTGATTAATTATAATTCCCTCTCTATTTCTAAATATTTTCTTAAATCAGAATTATTTGTATTTTCTTTTAATTAATTTCAGAAAAATTAATTAATAAATTTTTATCTATTAATAAAATCAGAATTTTAATAAATTATTTTACTTTTCACTTTTCCCTCACCAACCAAAATTCTTTTTGATTTTTCTGATTTTTATCTATTTTAAAAGTTCAATTTTAATATTTTTAAGAGAAAGTGCTTCCAAAAAAATATATTTATCGGTCTCTAAAAATCTCCCGCATCTCCTCCCAACACTTTTATTATTTATTTATTTTATTTGCTTGTTGAATCAAGCGTTGAATTGAAAAAATAATTTTTAAAATCTGGGTCAAAATTTTATTGCCACTCGCATCCCTCAATTTATTTAATTCTGCCTTCTAATCTTGAATTTATTCAATTTTTATTTGCTTTTAATTTTGTATTTTTTATTTGAGTCAAAAACACAATTTTAAATATCAGTATATTTTAGTAGGGTATATTCTTTTGTATTTTTTGTATTTTCTCTTAAATCAGAATTATTTAAATGTATTTTATCAGAATTTACACATCATATTTAAATTATTTCTGATTCTTTATTTTTGCTTTTTAAATCAGAATTTCTTTTTATTTTAAAAAATCAGAATTAGTATTTCTGATTTTGTATTTTCTCTTAAATCAGAATTTTTTTATTTCATTGTATTTTATTTGTATTTCAGAATTAATATTAATTTTCAGAATTAATAAAATCAGAATTAATAATCAGAATTAATATTAATTCTGATTTTTTGTTTTTATTTTTAAATCAGACTTTTTTCTTTTAACAAATCAGAATTTGTATTTCTGATATTGTATTTTATATTTAATCAGAATCAGAATTCAATTTCTTTTAAATGTATTTTATAGGTTTTATTCAAATCAGAATTAATATTAATTCTGATTTTGTATTTTTCCTTTTTAAATCAGAATTCATTTAAATGTATTTTAGTATATTTTCTTGGGGACGGAATTAATTTATTTATTTTTACTTTATTACTGATTTTGTACGAATCTTTTTAAATCAGAATTAATTGACTTAAATGTATTTTATATTATTTTAGGGGGCGTAAGTATTTATTTTAATTTTTAAATAAGACATAAAAACAAATTTAAAAATTCAAGAACTAGAAATTAATTTTACAAACAAAATTTATCAAAAAATATTTTTTTCAAAATTTTAATGTTCCCCCAAATATTTTTTGATATACATATGCATTTATTATTAAGTATTTTATGAGTAAAAACAACAACCAAAAAACTCATCTCCACTCATATTTTTGGTCGCATTTTGCATGGATAAATGCAAATGAAGCAGAAAATTAAAAAGCAAACAAGTAGCGAAAAATCAAACATCGCTTTTTTAAATGTTATATTTTAAATTAAATAAATTGAATTTATTTTAAAAAATTCTGAAATAAAAATCAGAATTTATTTTATTATTTAGATAATAAAATCAGAATTATTTTATTTAAATGTGTTTTTTTGTGTTTTTCTTAAATCAGAATAAGATCAGAATTTTTTTATTTTTATTTAGAAAATGAAATCAGAATTATTAATTAAATGTGTTTCAGAATAAAATCAGAATTTCATTTTAATCAGAAAACAAGTAGGTATATTACCCAAATGTGTTTTTCTTAAATCAGAATAAATTATCAGAATTTTCTCTTATTTATTGAGAAGATAAAATCAGAATTATTTTTAAATGTGTTTTTCTTAAATCAGAATAAATTTTCAGAATTTTTTTTTAATAAATATCAGAATTAAACAATTCTGATTTCATTTTCCAAGTAAAAAAATTCTGTTTTAATTCTGATTCTAGAAAAAACACAGAAAACACTTTTAATAAAATTATTCTGTTTTATTTTCCTAGTGGTAAAAAGAAAATTCTGATTTTAATTTTCAGAATTTTTTAAAAATAAACTTAGTTAATTAACTGTGTGTTTCTTTTTAAAATAATCAGAAAATACAAAAATCAGAATTTTAAAAATAATAAATAAGGAATGATTCACCTTTTTATTTCTCTCACTTTTATTGTTATTTTCACTTTTCTCTCTCCAAACTCTCATAATAAAAAAATTATTTATTTATCATAACAATAAAATTTTATGTCACATTCTTTTGTTATATTTACGTAAAAATATTATTTTTCACGCATTTTTGTATTTTTATTTTTTATTTATCTTCAATAAAATTGCAGACATTTTATGGATGAATGGAGAGATTTATTTATTTATCTTCCAATTAAATAAAAAAATATTTATTTTTTCACATGCATCAAATCAGTTATTTCCTTCAAAGGCCAAAAATACATATGAAAAAAATTGTTTCATTAAAAATAATTTTCTTTGTCTGTAGTTGTGTTTTTCTTTTTTGTATTTATCAGAATTGTATTTTTATTTTTTTAGAAAATCAGAATTTTCTTTTTTATTCAAACAGAACTTTTTGGAAAGAATCAGAATTTTTGGTTACTTTGTAATTTAGTGTATTTTTGCAAGATCAGAATATTTTTATTTTAAATCAAATATTTAATAAAATCAGAATATAATAAATCAGAATTTTTCTATCTTTTATTTTTAATAAATCAGAATTTATTTTCTTTTTTGTCCAGTTATTTACTTTTTATCCATTTTCTCATCTTTTTTCCTTAATTGTCAGCATAAATAGAGGATTTCCGGAAGTATTTAATGGAAAATGCTTCTCTCTTTTTGTTTAAAATTAATTAAATGAGTCACGCTATTTAATTTTAAAAAATTTTTTTCTTCAAGTTCGAATGTTCAAAAAATTATTTTTTAATTTATTATCAGTTGGATCTCGTTATAATTATCCCGATAAAAGATATACTACAATTAAAGAAATTTTAAAAAAAAATTTGAATTATCACAGGGTCACAGGGTGTTCAAATTGAGATCTGACTTTATTTATTTTTTAAATTAAACGTTCAAAATTTATTTTAAAAATAAAGGGGGAGGGAATTAAACTGTCAATCACTGCCCTTATATTTCAAAATCTTCAAGAGATTATTTCAAAAAATTTTTTTCTTTTATTCTTTCTTTTGTTTACTTACCTATACCTTTTTTTCATTTAGCAATTTTTTCGCACTCTAAAAAAGGAGAAAAAGGGAGAGATTTGGGTATAGATTCCCTAAAGAGACCGGCAATTTTTAAATCCACCCCTCCATCCCTTCCCCTCCTGTCCCCTCCCTTCCCTTCCCCCTTATATCCCCCTCCATTTTCCTCCCCCCCCCCCCTATATCCTCCTTTACCCATCAAATGGTCACACGAAATAAAAACACACACAAACATACACAAAAACAAACAGAAAATACAGAAAAACAGAAAAAAATATAAAATGCCAAAAATCTCATTCATCAAAGAGAAACCCCCTCTCTTTTTTTTTAATTTTTTGTTTGATTTTTGAGTTGCGGAAGAAAAAAAAAGAAAAAAATTAAAAATTTGAAGAGAATAAAAATATTCTCTTATAAAATATTCTCTCTTTTTCCTCTTTAAATTAAAAAAAAATTCAGAAAAAGTTGCTTTTTAATTTTAATATTTTATAGGATATGCGTAGATTTAAATAAATAATGTTGCATTTTAATTTAAATGTAAATTAGTATATTTGGAAAATACCAGAAATTGAAATCAGAAATTATAACCAGAATATTTCCAATTAATTGTTGCGTCAGAATTATTAAATTCTGATACTAAAAAAGTATCAGAATAATAAGGGAATAACTCAGAACTTAATAATTTAGTTAAATCAGAACTATGTATTTTCCTAATATGTAAATCAAAACTTTGTATTTTTCATGTAATCAGAATTTAATAATTTATTAAATCAGAATTTACTTCTTAAATTAAATCAGAATTTTGTATTTTTCATTTAATCAGAATTTTATATGTACTTGTGAAATCAGAACTTGTATTTTTTAAATCGAATTTATTAATATATTAGATCAGAATTATGTATTTTTTAATAAATCAGAATTTTGTATTTTCCTAAGAAATCAGAATTTTGTATTTTTCATGTAATCAGAATTTAATATTTTATTAAATCAGAATTTTGTATTTATTAAATCAGAATTAATTTTATTAAATCAGCATTATTTTTAAAACAGAATTTTTATAAAATCAGAATTTTGTTATTTTATTAAATCAAAACTTTGTATTTTTACATTAAATCAGAATTTGTATTCTATAAAATCAGAATTTATAATAATTTCTATATAATTCAGAATTTTATTTGTATTTATGAAATCAGAATTTTTATTTTTTAAATCAGAATTTATTAATATATTAGATCAGAATTTTGTATTTTTCTGAAGAATCAGAATTTACTCAAGTTTTGTGTTTTTAATAATTCTGATCTGAAAAGCTTAAAATATCAGAATATTAAAAATACAAATACCAGAAAATAAAAAAATAAATTTTAATTTTTCAGAACAAATACAAAACCCAAGCAACTTCTCTCGGCAAACCGCGTCTTCTAACGCTGTTAGCCCTTCCCTCAACAAAATGGCAGCAATACAACAAAATACAGAGAATTCCTCATCTCGTCCTGTTTCAGCTGTGGATAATCAAATTAATAAAAATACAAATTCATCAACTCCAATTATTGAAAGAAGGATAGCTACGGATGGGCCTAAACGTAAATTTAGTCTTTCAGATTCATCTCAGGCAACACTGAGTGAAAGATGCGTTGTAGTGGCTAGGTGAATAAATTCTTTAATCTCCCTAAATGTCCAAAAAAATTTTTATTCCTCCAGGCAATCCGACGGTTTTGGCCTAACCGTAAGTGGAGAACACCCCCTTACTGTAGCTACACTAAAGCCTTATGGAGCTGCACAATTGGCAGGTGTCCGTGAGGGTGACAGAATATTGAAGGTTAACGGGATGCTAGTTAGTTGTTCCAACTTCCAAGAAGTTATCAAAATGATTTCTGGTAATTAATTAATTTTTAATAGAATCCTTAAATAAGGAAAAATTTTTCCAAAATTTCCATATCAAAAGATTCTTCAATTTTGACATTTTGTCGCGCCATTAGGAGTGTGACATTTTGTCGTTTTTTATATTTTTTGAAATTCTGATTTACCTATATAAAATTGAAATACAAATTCTGAAACACAAACGAAAATAAATACATAATTCTGGTTTTACTCAAAATGAAAATACAAATAATTCTGATTAAAAAAATACAAAATTCTGATTTTAAATGAAAAGATACATTTTTCAACCGAAATAAAAATTCTGAAAAATTCTGATTTTGAACAGAAATAAAAATTCCGATTTTACACGAAAGAAAATACAAATAATTCTGATAAGAAATACAAAATTCTGATTTTAAATAAAATTACAAATTCTGATTCTACACAAAAAATATACAAATAATTCTGATTAAAAAATACAAAATTCTGATTTTCAACAGAAATAAAAATTCTGATTTTACACTAAAGAAAATACAAATAATTCTGATTAAAAATACAAAATTCTGATTTTAAATGAAAGGGTACATCTTTAATCAGAATAAAAAATTCTGATTTTCAATAGAAATACAAATTCTGATTTACACAAAATGAAAATACAAATAATTCTGATTAAAAATACAAAATTCTGATTTTTAATAAATACAAATATTTCTATAGGCGGCTACAATCTAGTATTAACACTTTTGGGGCCAGCACGTACCCACAGTGTTTCCTCCTGGGATGATGAATTGTTTCCGGCAATTCAAAAACCAAAGGAAATAAATAATAATAACAACAAAAACAATGGAATATTAATACAACAAACACCTAATCCTGAACAAATGATGCTAAGTCTGGAATGGCAACGAGAACGGAGAGACGAACTTTTTCGAATGTTAAACAAAGAAAGGGCTAATCTTGAGGTGAGAATTATACATAAAAGGGATAAGATTCTGACTTGTATAATTTCAAGAAATATTCTGAAAATAAATTTTGAAAAAAAAATTCTGAAAATAAATTCTGAAAAAAAAATTCTGAAAATAAATTTTGAAAAAAAAATTCTGAAAATAAATTCTGAAAAAAAAAATTCTGAAAATAAATTCTGAAAAAAAAATTCTGAAAATAAATTTTGAAAAAAAAATTCTGAAAATAAATTCTGAAAAAAAAATTCTGAAAATAAATTTTGAAAAAAAAATTCTGAAAATAAATTCTGAAAAAAAAAATTCTGAAAATAAATTCTGAAAAAAAAAATTCTGAAAATAAATTCTGAAAAAAAAATCTGAAAAAAATTCTGAAAAAAAATTCTGAAAAAAATTCTGATTTGACAAAGAAATAAAAACACAAATAATTCTGAATTTTAATGCTACCTGTTTTAATTTTACCATTTATTTATTGTGTTTTCCTCCAAAATTTTTTTTCTAATTTTTTACCATTTAAAATCAAGCAAAAAATATTTTCTTGTTGGACACATTTCTCCCGTGGGATTTTCCTTTTTTATTCTTCTTTAAAGTTCAATTTCTTTTTTGCTTTGCTTTTTTGGTTAAATTCCCAAAAGAATGACAAAATATTATATTGTTTTTAAATAAAAATATAAATCCATCTTATAATGCAAATCAAAGAAAAAAGTCAATGGGATTTTTAAAAGGTCTTTTTGGGCTGTAGAAAAAAGTTTATTTTATTTTAATAAGCTTTTACACAAGTTTTGAGGCGTAGCAAAGGCGAGAAAAACAATGCGAACTAACTTTACGCTTTATTCCCTAACTTTTGAATGGCCAAACTTTTTTAAGCAAATTTGGTATCATTCGATAGAGAATTAAATTAACTACAAGAAAATATTTATTTTAATTTTTTATGTTGCAGGGTTAAAAAGTTATGGTTAAAATCCTCCTTTAATTGGGCGTTTTTTGCTTAATAATTTTATTAAAAATTTTTTTAAAAATTCAATTTTTTCTCTTTAAATATGAAATTAATTTAATATTGTAGAAAATTTAATTCTGTTTAAAATGATACCAAATTTATTCTATAAGGATTTATTTCCGATTAGTTATGGTTGTTTACTTGGAACCGTTCTAGACGTTTCTTAAGACCTTAATTCCTTTCTTTCACTAATTTTTCTCAAAATTTTCTTTGAATTTTTTTAGTCTTTACAAGTCTGTGCTGGAATTGCAGACTTAAACCAACAACCACAGCAGCAAATCGAATTTGGTGGGGGTTCAAAATTAGAAAGAGCCCTCTGCAGAATTAACGAGCTGGAGAAGCAACTGAATATTCTTTCCCTGCTTAATGGTAATTAATTAATTTTAAAAAATTTTTTAATCAAGTTTCATCAAGTTTAATCAAGTTAATTTTGACTAATTAAATTCAAAATAATTTTTTGTAGCAGTCACAAACGGCAAAAAACGGCCACTAAATAGGAATGACAAGAAGCGAGGCTCTATTGAGAGTAATGAGACTGAGAAACAGGTTGGAAAATAATTTCATAAACTCGAAAATTATTTAATGAAAAATGATTCAGTCATTCATAAGTCAATTCCCGCTTATTCCAAAATCTATTCCAAAAAATATTTCATTCAATCTGGCCCTAACAATTTTTAATGAGTCTAAACACCTATGTGCGTCAATCAGTGCGTTCTCTGCCCAAAAATCGAACCATCCCACGGTTATTCTTTCCCTGCTTTATCCTGTAGATCGCTGGCACGTTTAAGTTTATAAACTCCTGTCAGTTTCAACTATTAGACGGTTCCAAGATCAATTCCTGGGACTAATAAGGTTCTGGTCAGTCATTTCCCTCTCTGTTCCATGACCGTGGAACTGCGTAAAATTTTGGAACTGCCCAAAACTGAAACCTCGGAACCGTTCGATTTACGGATCCGAAACATCACTCGCACTAGGTTAAATTTATACTCAATCCCCCAAAAAAAATATTTTTCTCAAAATTGCAACAATTTTATATAAATTAAAAATGCCCATCTTCCTTTCATTGTTTATTTGTTTAATCCATCACGCAATTCTTTTTTTTTCGTGGCAATTTTCTTCCTTTTTTCCTATGCTTTTCTACATTAAATTAACAAAAAAAGGAAGGAAGCATTTCATTGTAATAAAGAAAATAAAAAAAAGAAATTAAACCAATGCGGGGAATTTTGGCTGTAAATTAATGCCGAAATAAAGAGAAAAGAAGAAGAAAAAGGTTTATTGGAATGTGGATTGTTTAGAAGAAAAAATTTTTAGTCTAAAATACAAAAAAATCTATTTTAAAACACATAAATTTTGGCAGATATGCAAGAACAGTTTAAAAATCGTTAAAACGCCAAAATTAAAAAAATAAACAGAACGCCAAAAATTTAAAAAATAATTTAATATTTAATACAGTTGGACGTTATCCTACTACTATCGGAGCAGTTCAATTGAGTCCCCACGATTGAGTCCCGGCACGATTGAGTCCGCACGATTGAGTCCCCACGATTGAGTCCCGGCACGATTGAGTCCCCACGATTGAGTCCGCACGATTGAGTCCCCGTTGTATATACCTCAATTGAGTCCCCGTTAAAAATTCCCGGTAGGAATTTTTATTTTCCTAGATTTTTTTATTGTTTTTTTTTATTTTTTTGTTTTTCTTTTGGGGTTTGCAACTAATTTTGTTAATTAGTTGACCGAGCATCCACTCAAGTCCATCCGAGCACTGAATTTTCTCAATGAGGACGAGAGGGAGGACGAGAATCTTGTGTAGGTAAAAGTTTAATTTTTATTTTTTAATTTTAGATTTTATATTTCAGGTTGGTCTAACTTTGCTCATCACGTGTCGGACTTCATCCCACGGCTGCAACGATGGGAAATTTGAAAAGGTTTGGAATTTTTATTTTGTTTTTCGTTTTTATTTTTAAAATTTTTTAGTTGATTTTCGTCAGTTTCTGACTGGCGATTTTCAAGTTCACAGTTTCTGAAGGAACGAAGGTGGTGAACTTAGGAGAACAAAAAACGAAAGAAAGGCCCTTCTTTGGCACAATAATTGAAGCTAGACTTTGGTTTTTTTTAATTTTTTTGATAAAATTTTTAAAAAATATTTTTTTATTTTTTTTTTCACATTTTGATTTTCTCCCGTATCCAGGTAAATTCTGCCGGAGTCCGGAAATTAGGAAGGAGTTTTTACGTTCGTAATTTAGATAGTTTACCCTACCCTCCATAGCAGCACAAAAAGTTTTTCCAGCGAAGATTCTGTTGGTCAAAATTTGTTCAGAATCATTCAATCAACTTGATTTTGGTCTTATTCTTATTCAACTCATCTCGTCGATCCCTTTCGAATGAGCTATTTTTTGTTTATTCGAATGTTTCGCAACAAAAATTCCCCATGGAATTCCACCAAAAAATCCACCATTTCGAGCCCCATATCTCGGCGAGAACTTGTTCAACAATGTTGATTTTGGTGTCATTCGACTCACTACTTTCGAATGAGCTGTCATTCAAAAAATCTCTCGATATCCCTCCTAATCCCCAAACCCACAATATCCATCTTAATCTCTCCGAATTTGTTGATATCTGCCTTAATTCAACCGATATCCCCGCTTAAATCTACTTATATCCCTTGATATTCACCAATATCCATCTTGATACCTCGATGTCGCATACAAGTCCCCTGATATTAACATTAATCCCTCCAAATCCCCAAATATCCCTCTTAATCTTTTTTAATATAATTAAATCTAGGGGACTCAATTGAGGTATATACAACGGGGACTCAATCGTGCGGACTCAATCGTGGGGACTCAATCGTGCCGGGACTCAATCGTGCGGACTCAATCGTGGGGACTCAATCGTGCGGACTCAATCGTGCGGACTCAATTGAGGTGTACCGTACTACTATAATGGTTTTCCTACCCATTCCTACATATTTTTAAAAATGTATAGAGAGGACTATAGGAGGACCATTATAGAGAGGACCCTTATAGTCCAGTAGAGAACGGGCTATAAGGGTTGCACGAAAATCGATATCACAAAAAATCTCGAGTTTTCAATAAACAAAATTTTTGTTCGATCTCTAGTCTCGTTCCCTAGTCTCATTCCCGTCTCTAGTTAAAATCCATTATTGAATGAATCTTGAAGATCCAAGTGTATTATGTTTCAAAACGTCAGAAACAATATAATTTTTCTAACCCAAAAATATAGAAATTAGAACAAACCCCACAACATATTCACGTAATTAACGTGAGAAATAAAATAATAAAAAAAATAAAAATATATCATTTATTATAAATTTTACGCTCCTTTGATCTCTCTCAAAATGCACTTCTCTCGATTGCGATTCATTTAGTTTTAATTGCGCAAATGTAGAAAAAAAACTATTAAATGAGTTTAAGTTAATTGATTCTAAATTGATTATATTTTATTGTTTTATTTATTTTCTTTGTTTTTATTAGAAGTTTATGAATCAAAACAAAATAAACTTCCCGGAAAACAATGAAAATTGTAAAAATATAGTTTTTCACTAACAAAAGAGAGAAAAACATGTTTGAAAAGAATCTTTGGAAACATTTTTATTTAATTGTTTTTGGGTGTTTTTATTAGTTGTTTTTACAATTTTGAATGTTTACCGGAAAATGTTTTTACAATCTTCAGTGCTTTCCGAAAAATGTTTTACAATTTTAAATGTTTTTCAAAAAATGTTTTTACAATCTTCAGTGCTTTCCGAAAAATGTTTTTACAATTTAAATGTTTTCCGGAAAATGTTTTTAGAATTTAAATGTTTTCCGGAAAATGTTTTTACAATTTTCAATGTTTTCCGGAAAATGTTTTTACAATTTTCAATGTTTTCCGGAAAATGTTTTTACAATTTTAAATGTTTTTCAAAAAATGTTTTTACAATCTTCAGTGCTTTCCGAAAAATGTTTTTACAATTTAAATGTTTTCCGGAAAATGTTTTTAGAATTTAAATGTTTTCCGGAAAATGTTTTTACAATTTTCAATGTTTTCCGAAAAATGTTTTTACAATTTTCAATGTTTTCCGGAAAATGTTTTTACAATTTTAAATGTTTTTCAAAAAATGTTTTTACAATCTTCAGTGCTTTCCGAAAAATGTTTTTACAATTTTAAATGTTTTCCGGAAAATGTTTTTAGAATTTAAATGTTTTCCGGAAAATGTTTTTACAATTTTCAATGTTTTCCGGAAAATGTTTTTAGAATTTAAATGTTTTCCGGAAAATGTTTTTACAATTTTAAATGTTTTCCGGAAAATGTTTTTACAATTTTAAATGTTTTCCGGAAAATGTTTTTAGAATTTAAATGTTTTCCGGAAAATGTTTTTACAATTTTCAATGTTTTCCGGAAAATGTTTTTAGAATTTAAATGTTTTCCGGAAAATGTTTTTACAATTTTCAATGTTTTCCGGAAAATGTTTTTAGAATTTAAATGTTTTCCGGAAAATGTTTTTACAATTTTCAATGTTTTCCGGAAAATGTTTTTAGAATTTAAATGTTTTCCGGAAAATGTTTTTACAATTTTCAATGTTTTCCGGAAAATGTTTTTAGAATTCAAATGTTTTCCGGAAAATGTTTTTACAATTTTAAATGTTTTCCGGAAAATGTTTTTAGAATTTAAATGTTTTCCGGAAAATGTTTTTACAATTTTCAATGTTTTCCGGAAAATGTTTTTACAATTTTCAATGTTTTCCGGAAAATGTTTTTACAATTTTCAATGTTTTCCGGAAAATGTTTTTACAATTTTAAATGTTTTTCAAAAAATGTTTTTACAATCTTCAGTGCTTTCCAAAAAATGTTTTTACAATTTTAAATGTTTTCCGGAAAATGTTTTACAATTTTTCTATTTTTTCCGGAAAATGTTTTTACAATTTTCATTGTTTTCCGGAAAATGTTTTCACAATTTAAATGTTTTCCGGAAAATGTTTTTACAATTTTCATTGTTTTCCGGAAAATGTTTTTGAGTTTTACATGATTCTCAAAAGCCATAAACACTCAAAAATCAGAACTGTTTCCATGCCAAAAACATTAAATATAATTTTATTTTTAATGTTTTTAAAGACTCTTATTCAGCTAGATTTTGATGTAAACAACAAAAAATCCTTTCCTTTTTTAATATTACTATATTTGTAAAAAGCCCAAGCTTTATTTTTTAAATAAATTTTTAAGTCAATAACAACATAAATATATTTATCTCCATTTTTTGCTTTTCCTTAACTTTATTTATATACCCCGATAATTGGCATTTTGTCTGCCAAAAATTTTTTAGCTGGCCATTGGGCGACTTTTGAGAGGAAAAAAGATTTTAACTGAAAAAAGCAAATTTTTTATTTAGTCTTGGGCATTAAACCTTCTTCCTCTTTTATATTTTTTTGAATTTATTTAAAAATAAAACACTTTCCGGAAAACATTCTAAATTGTAAAAATAACATTGTTTTTTTGACAAACAAAAAAAAAAGACTATTGGGAGAGTTTTTCTGGAGACTCTCTTCCGGAAACATTTTTAGTCTGTTTTTAAATGAACGTTTTGAATGAAGGGAGAATCTTCTTGCTTTTTATATCTGTCTCTCTTTTTAAATTTTTAACCAACTTTTAAAATACAAATTAAATTATTTAATTTTTCAAAAATTAATTTTTGTATATTAAGTAAAACGAAAAATTAATTTTATTATTTATTCTATTGTTTCTCTTATTTTTTCTTAAAATGCGAACTGGGAAAATTGTAAAATTAATTTTTTAAAATAAATTTAATGAATGAGAAATATTTTTTCATAGAAATTAAAAAACACTTAAAAAATTATTTTTATTCTCCCATTTTCTAGAGCAGCAAAACTTTCCCTCCAACATCAATGATAACAACAAATAACAGTTCTGTGCCTTTACGTGCAGCTGATGCTGCTGTAGGGAGAGTAGAACCTATTCGAAGTTGGATAGAGACTGGGGGAATGCATTATGTTCAGGCAGATGTTCTGCCCATTGGGGATGAGGAGGAGGAAGAGGAAGAAGATGGAGGGGAGGGAAGTGAGGGTGATAATGAAGATATGGTTAGTTGGTGTTTTGATCTCATCAGAAAAAAATGAGAGTAAAACATTTAAAAATCAGAATAAAATCAGAAAAACATTTAAAAATCAGAATAAAATCAGAAAAACATTTAAAAATCAGAATAAAATCAGAAAAACATTTAAAAATCAGAATAAAATCAGAAAAACATTTAAAAATCAGAATAAAATCAGAACAACATTTAAAAATCAGAATAAAATCAGAAAAACATTTAAAAATCAGAATAAAATCAGAAGAACATTTAAAAATCAGAATAAAATCAGAAAAACATTTAAAAATCAGAATAAAATCAGAAAAACATTTAAAAATCAGAATAAAATCAGAAAAACATTTAAAAATCAGAATAAAATCAGAAGAACATTTAAAAATCAGAATAAAATCAGAAAAACATTTAAAAATCAGAATAAAATCAGAAAAACATTTAAAAATCAGAATAAAATCAGAAAAACATTTAAAAATCAGAATAAAATCAGAAAAACATCAAAACAACATGGAATAATATCTAAACATTATCAGAATAAATATCAGAATTATTTCTATATTTCAGGAAACAGCTGGTCCCTTTACAAATTTACAAGATTTAAAGACCAGACCTGCTCATTTGACAGTTTTCTTTACTTATTTGTTGAATAATGCAAATCCTAGCAGCCTTGTAAGAATTTTTATAAAATTTTTTAAAATTTATTTTGTAGCTTTTCTATCTTATTACGGATGTCTTTCCTTCTTCCAATGTTAAAGATATGCGTAGATTTGCTTATGAATTATTCTCTACTTTTCTTATTCCTGGTGCCCCTTTGCAATTGCCTAATATATCCCAACATGATATTCAGGTATTTTAAGATGTTTGATATTGTAAAAACATGTTTATTTTGCAAACAAACATGTTTTGTTTTTAATTTAAACAAACATCAAGAAAAACATTCCTATATTAACTCCAACAAACTCTCTTAAAGACATTCCGGAATCTTACAATTTGAACATTTAAATTACAAAATGATAGGGCAAAAACATTTTCCTTTTAGATAAACATGTTTGTTTTACAAACAAACATGTTTTGTTTTGATTTAAACATTCCGGAAAACATTCTAAAATTCACTCTAACAATCTCTCGTAAAAACATTCCGGAAAATTCCGGAATCTTTCAATTTGAACATTTAAGTTACAAAATGTTTGGCAAAAACATTTTTGTTTCACACAAACAATTTTGTTTTCTAACAAACATGTTTGTTTGTAATGCGTAGATTTGCTTATGAGCTTTTTATTCCAACAAGAACAAAAGCCAACAAACATGTTTGTTTGTAAAACAAAAATGTTTTGACAAACATGTTTTGTTTTGATTTAAACAGACACTTCCGGAAACTTTCCGGAAAAAATTTTTTTGCTTCATTTCTCTCTTTCCTCTTGAATTTAAATTTTAAATTTCTTTAATATTTAGGCCATTGACAAGATTTTAATAAAAATGTCTTCAACACCTTCAACCTCTACTCAACAACAAGATATTGAACAATTACGTAAACTCTTTATACCAACAAGAACAAAAGCTGTCGGGCAAATTAACGAACAATTATCCTTATTTAGAAGGAAAAAACATTTAGGTAGAAAATTTTTGAAAAAAAATTTTGTGTTAAAAGATCTCAAAAAAATTATTTTTGTTTTCGCTCAGATCCCAATTTTGTCGAGGAATATTCACAACTTGAATCCATATCTCGTGCCGATCATTCTGCAGAGTTGCGATTATCTGAAAGAATTTTGTTTAGAACTCTTTCTCATTTAATGCATTTGGCTAATCCTATTGGTCTTCAATATTTTCCTTCAAAATTAATTTTGTGTTTTCCAGGCCCTCCTGAATTTGGAAATTGCGAAAGGAAAACTTTAGCTTTGATTATATCTGTTGCTACACTTATAAAAGTAAATTTACAATTCTACAATTTTGTGTTTTACCGGAAACTTTCTTTAGGAAAATTTGTTTTATTCTCCCCCTTTTCTGACTGAAATAAAATGAATGAACAGCTTAAAAATTTAAGAAATCCTTTCCATAAATTAACAAAAATAATTAAAACAACAATGTTTCTGTAGCATGAATGTTTTTTTTATAATTTTTAGGTTGTTATGGGACTCCGAACTAATCATTCAAATTGGGAGGTAAACTATATATAATTCGAAATAATTTTAAATTATTAAATTAAATTGTAGAAACTTCTGGATAAGTGCCCTACATTCTTAAGTCAATTACCTAAAACTGGAGGAACTTCAATGTTTAAAATGTTGGGTAGTGGAGGCGGGACTTCAATCAAACAAAAATTACAACTTAAAGAACACCAAGTTTGTAAAACTTTATTTGTAAATTAATTGTTTGTATCTAAATTAAACTTGTTTTATAAGTTTGATATAAAACATTTGTAAAACATGTTTTAATGGATAGTTAAATAATAAATGTTTGTAAAAACATGTTTCTTAAGAAATAATTAAAACAAAACAAAGTTTGTAAAAACATGTTTCTTGAAAAATAATTTAAATAAAACAGTTTGTAAAACATGTTTTACAAAGTTTGTAAAAACATGTTTTAATAAAATAATTTAAACAAACAAAGTTTGTAAAAACATGTTTCTTGAAAAATAATTTAAATAAAACAGTTTGTAAAACATGTTTTTAAAGAAACATTTAAATAAAACAAGTTTGTAAAACATGTTTGTAATGCATGTTTTTAAAAAGCCTAACATTAATTATTAGAATCGGATTATAAAACAAACATATTTTAAATCAAACAGATTTAAAAATTTTTTTGTTTCAGTTTATTCTACAACAAGTTTTTGTCACTGTTCATTGCTACCAATGTCGTGAAGCTGTTTGGGGTGTAAATCCTCAGGCCTATTTTTGTCAGAGTAAGTTTACTATTAAATACAATTTATTTTTTAATAAAAGGGTGGTAAATAAAAATACTTTTTAATACATAAATATTTTATAAATTTTTTTATGTTTGTACATAATCATTTAAAACAAAAAGTCTGTACAAACAAATAAAAAAAATAAGATGCGTGCAGAAAAATGTTATGGCTCCCCCGTTTTATGTGAATAATTTGTCTCTAGGGAATATATAACAGCTTAAAAATCTTGGCTTTTTCTTTTGTTTTACTCTCCCTTGCCCCCGCAATTCATCATTCTTCTTATTCATATTGAGAGAATGGAAATATTTCTATATCATAAAAGAAGCTTTAAACTTTTTTAAAATATTTATAAGTTAAAAACTTTTGTTTGTAAACTGTGAAGTTTTATAATCTTTGTTTTATAGTTTTGTTTTGATTTTAAATTTGCAAACTTAAAAATCTGTGTTTTTATGTTTTTGGATGTCTTTTATGTTTTTTGCCCTGTAAACCTTTTAGCATTTAGTTTGGCCCGCCTAAATGTTTAAAATATCTATTGAGATGTTTTACAAAACTTTTTTTAAAATCTTTAATATTTGTTTTTAATCTATTCAAGTTTGTGTTTAAATGTTTAGTTACAAACTTAATAATCTGTTTTAGCAAATGTTTTTACAAACTTGTTTTCTCTAACCTTTACAAACTAGAAATGTTTGTTTTAATATTCCAAAAAGTAAAACAAACATTCAAAACAAACAGACTAAAACAAACAAACATTTAAACAAACAAACGTTTAAAACAATCATACTAAAACAAACAAACATTCAAGCAAACAAGCATTTAAAACAACAAACTAAAACAAACATTCAAAAAAACATTTAAACCAACCAGTTTAACAAACAAAACAAACATTTAAAACAAACATTTAAAGCAACCATTTAAACAAACAAACATTTAAAGCAAACTAAAACAAATAAAACATAAACATTCCCTCTCATTTCCAGATTGTGACGTTGTTGTCCACAAAAACTGCACTTCTCAACTTGTAAGTATTTACCAATGCTTTTTACAAATTATTTATTTAACAAACATTTTTACAATCTCTATTTTTCAAAAAATTCTTAGATTGATCATTGCTGGCCCCAACAACAACAAAAAGTGGGTAAAGGTGGAAGCCAACAACAACAACAACCTTTTTCTGGACGTTCGAAGCTAGTTGCTGTTTCAACCACTTCTTTAACTAGTAAAAAAGATTTTCAAAAAATTCCAAATTTTTTTTTCTATTATCAGGTCCAGCCCGTATTCCCCAACAACATTATCACAAGGATTCTAACGTTTCTTCTTCAGGCCTTCTCCACCACCATTATTACCCTCCTTCTTTACTCTCCACAGAATCTGTATTCTCTTCCCCCAGTTTAGCATTAACCAAGCAACATCAATTAGTACAAAAACAACATTTAAATTTATTGCCAAGTCAAAAATCTTCCATCTCCCTAACACCCCCCATTAATCGCTCACATCATTCTACTAGTGCTTCGGTTGTTGCTATGGCTGGTTCTTCAAAGGAAAGTTCAAGCATCGATCGGCATGGGAATGATCTTATCCCACCCGAATTAATCGACGCTGACGCAACTACAAATGGAGGAGGTCCTCCTGTACCTGCTGCTGTTGTTCGTCTACAACATCAACAACAAACACACATGGAGAGCTTAGATTCGGGCTCATCTCCACCTTCTTCGGTGGGAAATAAAAGGGATATTTTTGTGTATTTAAAAAAAATTTTTTAGTCTGCCATGTTACCCCCACCCGTCTTTAGCAGTCGATTTGAAAGAATTCTTCCTCCAGATATTCCCCCTAGCAGCGCTCCTCCTCCTCCACCACCATTGCAGAAAACAACCGGAAATGGGCAAATAGAGGTATAATTTTGTTATATTTTTATAAGAAAAGCATTAAAATGTTAAGAGAATTTATTTTTATATTTTTGGGGAATGAATGGGAATATTGTGAAGGGCAGCATAAATATGGACCTTTAGGCGGTGTGTGTATTTAGTTTTAGTCCAGAATATCAACTTATATTATAATTGTTTTTAAATTGTTATCCACAAACATTTAAGCTTAAATGTCTATAAATATATAAATTATTTAATTTAAAACATGTTTTACAAACTTAAGTTTATAATTCAATTTTTATTGGTAAGGACAAACTTGAATGTTTTACAATTTTAAACATTATTTGTAAAACATGTTATATCAAAAATCTTATTAAAAGATGTTTGTGTTTGTACGAACATACTTAGTTCATAAAAACATGTTTGTAAAACATCGTTCAAACATTTTTCATAAACAATCTAGGTTTGTAAAACATTGTTCAAACTAGGTTCATAAACAAACTTAGTTTTTACAAACTTTGTTTATTTAAGTTTGTAATCTAAGTTTGTACAAATTTAAAGAAACAAACTTGTTCATTTAAGTTGTTCAAACATGTTTGTAAAACATTGCTTAAACTAATATCATAACTAAACTTAGTTTGTACAAACTTTGTTTATTTAAGTTTGTAATCTAAGTTTGTACAAATTTAAAGAAACAAACTTGTTCATTTAAGTTTAAGTTGTCATCTAAGTTGTTCAAACATGTTAACAAACATTTGTAAAATTAAGTTTGTAAAACATGTTTTTATTCAATTTTTACAAAAACAAAATTATAAACTTAACTCATATTTGTAAAACTTATTTTGTTCTCAAAATGTTTTGTTTGCTCTTCTGGATTATTTTTACACCCAAACTAAAAACATTTATTCTTTGTATTATTCCTTATTGTTAATTCAAAAAAAGGACTACTAATGAAGCTTCATTGCCTTTTTATACTAGTATAAATTGTTTTTGCGTCATTACTAAATTCCTCAAATCATTATTAAATTAACGGGAAAAAATATTTTTTGATAGGCCTAAAATTGAATTTTTTTTCTTATTTTTTATGACACTTTTCCTCTATTTTTTTCTTATTTTTTTCTTATTTTTATTTTGTTTTTTCACCTACTTAAGTTATTTTTTCTTTTAAAATATTTCCCTAAAAACAATAATAATCTTGAATAATATAAAAAAATATTTATTTTCTCGGATTAAAAATAACTAGGTATTATGGGTGTTAGGACGGATTAATGAGACATCTTATTTAAAAATTTCATAGTGCCAAAAAATAATAAAAAATAAAAACACTTTGTGAAATTGACATCTTTTTCTCATTTTTTTTCTTAAATACTTTTCATAAATTAAAAATATTTTTAATAATATTTTTTAAAATTGGATGCCGGAAAGTACACATAGGTATTTATGAAAATTCAAATTTTCATTTAATAAATTCTTTGAAAAATATTTTTAATAGTTAAGTATGTTAAGTGAGGTGATTAAATAAATTAAAAAAAATATTTTAAGAGTACACAAGCTGTTTTAGGATTTTACTTATTCTCAATTTATTTTTTAATCTTTAATTTTTACACTATTTAATATCCCCTCCTCAAACCTAGCTCTTAATTTATCCGCTCTCATTTTAATTTACTTTTATGTTTTAAGGGCAATAATCATATGTTTTCTTGAGGGCATACCCTTAGGTTTATTTTGAGTTTGTTTTCATGCATTCTCCTCGTCTCTTATGGAATTAACAAAAGTTCTAAAAATATTCTGTAATATTTTTTTCCTTTTTTTTATGTTGGAGAACATCCGATTTGTTATATTTATAGCTTTATATCCCAGTGTCACCTTAATCAGCTGTAAATCTTTAAAGTATCCCTTTTAAAGAAAAATTGGTAGTCTCGTGATTCAATATTAGGACCTTAATATCAATACCAAAAAACTTAAGCTTTGAGACTATACCAGGACGGGAAGCTGAACTTTTTTGCTTCAGTTACGTTAAGCTTTAAAATCATGCTTAAACTCGAAAAATCGAGGCGGAGTTATAGTTATGAAGCAAAGCCTATTTACATTTTTACTTTCAATATTAAAATATACAAATTTATTTTTAGACTCCATTAAACATTACTTCTACACTTCAACCATCTACAGCCGCGTCAACAGGTGCAGGGCACGGACAGCTAAAATCAATGGATTCAGGTATTGGTACGGAAGTGACTACAGCCTCCATGCCATCCTCAGCTCCAATACATGGAGGGATAGGCCGAACGGCTAGCGATCTGCCTAGAGCTACAGTTCAACAACAACAACAACAACAAGTTCAGCAACAACATTCCAGTATTGGCCCAACTCGTTCTCAAAGCATGAAGGTAACTTTATTTTTGAAAAATATTTAGTTCAATATTTAAGGTTGAAAAAATAAATTTTTGAATTTGGACTTAAAATTATTTAAACAAGCTTCAATAAAAATTAAAAGTTTACGTGCCAAAATTTTATTTTTACTTTAATTCAAATTTCGGTTTCTGTTTGTTTCAGACTTGTTTCGGATTTTCACCTTTCAATTTCTGACATTTTTTTCTTCCCATTTTTTTAATTTCCATTGTTGTCTTTCTAGAAGACACCAGAGTTGCGTCGTAATTGAAAATTTTTTTTCGTAATCGTAATTCGTAATTCGTAATTTAAAAAATTTTTTCGTAATCGTAATTCGTAATTCGTAACTGAAAAAATGCCGTAATTCGTAATTCGTAATTACGACGCAACTCTGGAAGACACCCTCTTTCGTTATATTTTAACTTTTAGTCCAAAAGAATAAAATATTTTTTTAAAGAATTTAACAATTCTTTTCAACACACAAAATCCGCTTTCATTTTTTAATTGCCTTTTTTTGTTTCTTTTTTCTTTTTAAGCTAATTTTTAATTCCTTTAAAGAAGATTTCACATTTTACACTTGCTTAAAAATAAAAATTTTTTTTTTAAATTCTCGTCTTTCCCTCTCATTTCCTTTGTGGTTTTTAGACAAAAAAAGAAAGAAATATGAGTATATTATTTTTTAAATGTTAGTTTTACGTTTAAATAATAGAAGAGAAGAACAACTTTTTTTGAAATCGGATAAAAAAATAAATTATTGGGAAAAAGCCAAAGAAAAAAATAAAAAAAGCAATAAGCATTCCTTTTATCATTTAATTTGAGCTATGATGAGAAAGGAAAAAAAATTTTTTTTTGAAAAGTTTTAAAGGTTTTTTAGACGGCTGTCTAGTAATTCATTATAATCTTTACTTATGCTTGATGTATTTTTTTTTTAATTTTTTTTAAAATTAAATTGTAATGTGTGTATTTCATATGCCACCTTTCTTATCAATATTTCAAATTGACATGTTTATTGAATGAGTTTTTTTGTTGTTCTGTTTATTATTCTGATATATTATACAATATTCTGATTTTTTATTCTATCATTCTGATTTTTCTTACAAGATTCTGATATTTTTCTTAGGTTATTCTGATTCTTTATTACAAAATTCTGATATTTTTTTCTGATTCTGATTTTTTCTGATATGTATTATTCTGATTTTATTATTACAAATTCTGCTCCTTTTATTGTTTTGTTCTGATTTTTTTATTAAAAATTCTAATTTTTATTATAACATTCTGATATTTTTTCTGATATTATTCTGATTTCATTATTAAAAATTCTTGTCCCTCCTAGTTTTTTCTGATTTTATTACAAAATTCTGATTGATTTTATTATAAAATTCTGATTATTTCCTGCTTTTTGTTTAATTCTGATAATAATTCTTTTCTGATTTTACTATATGTAACTCTTCTGATTAAATTTTCACTTTATTTAACATTATTTCTGATTTCTAAAATTCTGATTTTAGCTTAAAAATGCCAGAAATAACAACAAAATCAATTAATAATAATATTAAAAATTCTACAAATTTTCTCCCCTTTTTCCTACCCCATCAAGGAGTGAGTTTTGAAGCTAATCACAAAACAAAAAATAAAAATAATATTTTAATGATTGCCAATGACTCTTTAAAAATTGGTCGGAATGGTTACACCAGTTTGCGTCGAAAATCCCACAATTTAATTATTCCTCTATCGCCACTTCCTATACATCGTTCAAAATCACAGCAGAACGTGGCTGAGTTATCTAATGGAGCTATATCATTTATTGTATTTTTTAAAAATATTTTAGAAAATTTTAGGGGTTTATATATTTAAGTTTTTATTTACTACTGTCTTTTATTTAATTATTCTGATTTTATTTAATTCTGAATTTATTAACTAATTCTGATTTTTATTTTATAGAATACTTCCTGATTAGTTAAATTTTTTTCAAAATTAATTCTGATTTTATTTTTTGTATTTTAATCTTCTGTTTCTTTATTTTGGTGTGTATTTTAGTGATGCTCGGGAGAAGAAAAAACCCGGGAATCGGGAAACGGGAGTCGGGTCGGGAAATGACCTCGGGAGTCGGGATCGGGAGTCGGGAATTAGCAATAAAAAAAATTTCCAAAAATTCTAAAAATTTTTGGCGCCTTCGGCGCCAAAAATTCCGATTTTTTGCACCATAGGCAAAAATATTGAAAATTTTGGAAGGTAAAGAATCCTTACTAGCGCCGCAGGCGAAAATTTTGAGAATTTTTAGGTAAAGAAGTAAGATTTCTTCCATTTTTTGCGCTGCAGCCAAAAATTTTGACTCTCATTTGAGTGAAATAGAAAGGGGTTTTGAACGATCTTTAAGGGTAACTTAAGAGTTTATTTCCACGATTATTTGGAAAGATAAGCCAACAGTCTGTCCAAAAAACCTAGTAACCGCAGAGATAATCAGTGTTGGTATTGCTGGGGACTTTTTCTTTGAGCCAGAGCCCAGCTTTGATTTATAGTTGTTGTCATTGACATTAAGTCCTTAGAATCTCTCCATTGGAGTGAAATAGAGGAAAAGAGAGTGAAACAGAGAAAAATATTTTTACGTTTAATTTTGGTGGAATTTTTTTAACTAGCCACATATCTCTTCATATCCCCTATATAGTATTAACACCCGCTATGCAACATTAGTATCCTTCCACATATCTAACGTAGTCAATTCCATATATCCACGATATCCTTCCATATATCTGATATACTCCTTGATCCCCAAGTCCCCTTAACCCAATTAATGCATTCAAGCCCCCTTATATCCTCGTTATTTCTTCAAATTCACCATAGTCCTAGTAAATCACCGAACTCTGCTATACTACAACGCCACAGATTCTTCCCTTTTCAGCGCCGCAGGCAAAAATTTTGGGAATTTTAGAAGACCAAGAGGCCAGATTTCTTCATTTTTCATAAATAAAAATATAATTTTGCCAGAAAAAGTCATTCTTAGGGGTGTAAAAATTTCCCGACTTAGTCGGGAATTGACACCGGGAGTCGGGATCGGGATCGGGAGGCCAAAAACTCGGGAAATTTTACCGAGTCGGGAGTCGGGATCGGGATACCCGAGCATCACTAGTGTATTTTAATGAGGCTCGTTTGAAAAAGATTTTTTAGTTAACTGAATAATAATTATTTTTAAATTATTGTAAAACATAATTTTTTTAAATATATGATAATTAGGGCTGGGAAAAATATGCACGCAAAATCGCAAAATATGCGCATATATATGCACCGAAAACGCCCAAAATATGCACCATAATATGCAAAATTTGCCAAAATATGCACTAAATATGCAGAAAAAAATGGCGAAAATTTACATTAAAAATCAATTTTTTTCTAGAAAACACTATTTTGGCCTTTAAAATTTAAATTTAAGATCATTTCTATAAGATTTTATGGACTTTAAATTTTCGCAGAAAAAAATTTTTAAAAAAAATTTTTTCTCAAAAAATTTCTAGAAAAATTTTTTTCAAAAAATTTTTGACAAAAGTTCCGAAAATTTTTCAAATTTTGACCAATTTTTATAAAATTTAGCAAAAAATGCCAAAATATGCTCAAATTTTGGTAAAAATATGCAAAATTGTCCAAAATATGCACAGATATGCAGATATGCACGAGAGGGCCGAAATATGCAAAAATATGCATTAAGAACCGGGTCCCAAAGTGCTCGGACCAATGTAAAAATACCATTTTTGAGCTTCTCTCATCAAGGCATATCCGCATACAAAACATGCATTTGCATGTTTTTCCCAGCCCTAATGATAATTTTTAAAATTATTTTTCTCTAGGGAGAAGCAGCCAACCAAATTAAAAGGGGAGCAAAGGGTGCTGGTAGTTTAGGCGCTGCTGATTCAGCAGATGAACAACGGCCGATAACCTCCCAATTAGCGGTTCCATCAGTTTCTTCATTGAAAAGTAGTTCTTCTTCTGCTCAAGAGCTTTCACAGGCAAAAAAATTTTTTTTGATTCTATAGAATACGAAAACAAGCATTGAAGGGTTTATTAATAGGGAGGGGGTAATTATTTAATAGAGTGGGTAATCTTAAAAACTTTAAAGGCATTCCATGAATTCCCCCACATTGTACGAGGCACGGAAGCAGTCGCTAGCTCCTCCACTGGTACTAGCAGTGAAGAAGAAGCTAAAAAAATGGTGGAGCTTGTAGAGAGGACGGCGGTAGCTGATGGGGATAGTGATTTGGAGGTGAATACTTACTCATAAATTAATCAGAAGTTTATCAAATTTAAAGGTAGAGACAGAAGTACCTAGCCTTGAATCTCTCGTGGGGTGGGAGGTTCTGAAGCATTTAAAACCTAAAGAGAAAAAGCGACAAGAAGTGATTAACGGCAAGTTTTTAACTTTCTGATTTTTTGGTTATAAAATTAAAAATTCTGATTTGTTATTGTATTTTTATTCGGGTCATTTATATAAAATCAGAATCTTGTATTTTCTTAGGCTACAAAATTCTGATTATATTTAATTTAAAAAATTCTGATTTTTTAATTAAAAAATTCTGGTTTTTTAATACATAAATTCTGGTTTTTAATTCTAAATATTCTGGTTTTATTATTCAAAAAAATACAGAATTCTGATTTTATAAATCAAAAAATTCTGATTTCGTAAATTAAAAAATACAGAATTCTGATTTTATAAATTAAAAGCTTCAAGTTTTTTAATTCAGAAAATTATTCTGATTTTTAATTCAAAATATTCTGATTTTGTAAATTAAAAGAAAATATAAAATTCTGATTTTACAAGTTCCAAAAAAATAATTTCTCAATTTTCAGAATTATTCCACACAGAAAGAACACACGTACGTAACCTAAAAATTCTCTACAAAATATTCTACCGTCCAATGATCATGCAACGGGTTGCCTCCCCAGAACTAATAAAATTACTTTTTGGGAATTTGGACGAATTGCTTCAAGTACATTCCGAAATGAATTCAAAAATGAGGGCGGCTGTTGAAAATTGGCAGCGTTTTGGGGTGGGGAATGGAGGAGGGGGACTTTATGGTGATATTGGAGAATTAATTGTTAATTTATTTGATGGGGCTATTGGTGAAAAATTGATGCATAATACTGCCTTATTTTGTCGAAATCAGCAACATGCACTTGACACTTTAAGGCAAAGGTAGGGGGAAAATGATAGTAAAAATAAAATTAATTTATTAAATTTTAAAGGTACAGTAAGGCAAAAGACGACCCCTTCTCTCAATTCCTCTCTGAGGTACTCAGACTAGAATTTAAAATTTTTTAAATTTATTTCTATAGGCAGAAAACAACCCTCTTTGCCGCAAACTTCAATTAAAGGACATGATTCCGGTAGTAGAATAAACTTGTTTTAATTAAATTCTGATCTTCCCTGAAACATTTTTCTTTGGAAATTCTGATTTTTCTGAAAACATGTTTAAATTTAATTCTGGTTTTCCGGAAACATTTTTAGTATAAGTTTCTGATTTTTCTTAAAATGTTTTAATTAAATTCTGATTTTTTCGGAAACATTTTTCTTGGGAAATTCTGATCTTTCCGGAAACATTTTTCGTTGTAAATTCTGATTTTTCCGGAAACATGTTTAAATTTAATTCTGGTTTTTCCCAAAACACATTTATTAGTAAATTCTGTTCTTTCCGGAAATGTTTTTAAAAAATTCTGATACTTCTGGAAACATTTTAAATTTAAATTCTGATATTTCCAAAAATGTTTTATTAATTTTGGTCTAGATTTCCGGTCGAATTATTTTAATTTCTATAGGTAGAAATGCAAAGATTAGTTAAATATCCCCTCCTTCTGGAAACTATAGCAAAATATACAAGAGAAGGTAGTGAAGAATTACAACATTTATTACATGGAATTGAACGGGCAAAACGTATTCTTTCTGTTGTAAATAGTGATAAAAGAAATGCTGAAAATGAAAAAAGAATGGAAGAGCTTCAACAAAGATTAGATTTTACTGGATGTGAAAAGAGCTTTTTTCAACGTTTTGACTTTAGAGCGTATGTTTTTATTTTTTAATATCTTAAATTCTGATTTTTTTCTATACTCAATCTTTTTATAGACTCTATTTCTTCTAAAATTATGATTATTTGGAAATGTTTTTATAAAATACTGATTATCCGGAAATGTTTTTCTGAAATTCTGATTTATCCGGAAATGTTTTTCTATAATTCTATTTTTCCGGAAATGTTTTTATAAAATTCTGATTTTTTTGGAAATGTTTTTATAAAATTCTGATTTTTTTGGAAATGTTTTCATAAAATTCTGATTATTCGTAAATGTTTTTATAAAATTCTGATTTTCCGGAAATGTTTTTATAAAATTCTGATTTTTTTGGAAATGTTTTTATAAAATTCTGATTATTCGTAAATGTTTTTATAAAATTCTGATTTTTTTGGAAATGTTTTCATAAAATTCTGATTATTCGTAAATGTTTTTATAAAATTCTGATTTTCCGGAAATGTTTTTATAAAATTCTGATTTTTTTGGAAATGTTTTTATAAAATTCTGATTATTCGTAAATGTTTTTATAAAATTCTGATTTTTCCGGAATGTTTTTCTAAAATTCTGATTTTTCCGGAATGTTTTTCTAAAATTCTGATTTTTCCGGAATGTTTTTCTAAAATTCTGATTTTTCCGGAATGTTTTTCTAAAATTCTGATTCTTCCGGAATGTTTTTCCAAAATTCTGGTGTTTCCGGAAATGTTTATATAAAATTCTGATTTGTCCGGAAATGTTTTTATAAAATTTTAATGTTTCATTAATGACACTTTATATTCAGTTTACAAACATTTTATTTTCCATTTTCAGGATAACTTTTATTTTCCGGATATTTAAATGTTTTACAAATATTTAATTAATATTTTAGTCACAAACTTATTTATGATGGTCACTTACAATGGCGTCAAGCACGCGGCAAAACATTAGATTTACATGTTGTTCTATTAGAACATTTACTTGTTTTCCTAACAAAATTGGGTTCTGATTCTGGAAGTGCTTCAACCCCTCAAAAATTGCAATTAAAAATTCATGAAGTAAAATTCCCTTAAATATTTTTTGAAAAATAAAATTTAATTTAAGGCTGGTTGTATTCCTATAATGCGGCTATCGGCAGTTGAGGTAGAAGAAAAGCCTGGGGATAAGCGTTCTTTCAATTTACTTTATAAGAGTGATCTGAGGGTATTTGAATTAGTTGCGCAAACAGCTACAGAGAGGAAAACGTTAGGAAAATTTCAGCTAAAATTCAGAAAAAAATTTTTTTTCTAGTTGGTTCCGGTTGATCGAAAATCAAGTTTCTGTTACCCGTTCCTCTCCCATTCCAACAGATTTTGACAATATTCTTGATGGGATTTTAACTAGTGGAGTACAACAACAACAAAATAGGGCAACTCCACCTCCATTATTAGCCCAAAGAGCGAATGTTGTTGATTCTGGGTTACAACATCAAGTAGCTAAAGTTGAGCATGTACATGTTTTGACACATCCAGCACTTGTTAATGCTGTTAGTTTTTCGATTTTTAAAAAATTTAAAAAATGAGAAAACTAAAAACTCGGACTTTATTACCTCAATTATTTGTACTAGGGACCCAACTGGGAGGGTCGTACGAGAATCGAGTTCGTTTTGTTCGAATCGAGTTCGTTCGAGATCTCGTCTCGATCAATCTTTAAAATATACATCGAAACAATAGCTTTGCTGTTTAAGCGATGCCCCCAACAGGGGTGTGCCGAAAGTGATTTTAAAAAGCGAACGGCGAAAGACGAAAGTCCAAAAAAGGCGAAAATCGGCGAAAGACGAAAGGCGAAACTCGCACACCCCTGGCCCCCAACCCTATTCATATGATACAATTTTTCAATTAAAAGGGGATATCTTATAGTAGGATCCGGCTTTATTTTTGTATTTTTAAAGAATGAGATCGTAATTCAACAACCCAAAATTATGGAAAATGCTCAACCTATAATGTCTGTAGCTGATCGACTTCGCAAAAATGATAAAATAATTATTAGTGCATTAGCAGAAAAACATCAGATATTGTCTGAAATTTTGCTAGAAGAGGGGGATAAAGTAAATTATTAAATAATAATTTATAAAAAAAATTTTTTATAAATTTAGAAAAAATTTTCAGAAATTTTTCAGAAATTTAAAAAACTTCCGAAAAATTTTTTCTAGTTTTTTTGAAATTAAAATAATCGCCAAAAAATCAAAAATTTGAAAATTTTTTCAAAAAAATTTTTTGATAAATTTAGAAAAAAGTTAAAAATTTTTTAAAAAAATTTTGGTAAATTTTCAAAAAAATTTTTCAAAAAAAATTTTCAAAAATTAAAAAAAAATTTCAAAAAATTTTTTTCAAAAATTTTCAAAAAAAATTTTTTTCCAGTCTATCGTAAATCTAAAAGAATTGGAACGTATAACAGAATTAATGACTGGACTTGCTGTTGCAGAATTAAAACAAAGAAATTCAAAAGAACTGGCCATGTCTGCAATAGTACATGGAAATAGACTTTTGGATTGTATAAATCAAGGAATGAATACTGTAAATAAAACAGAAGAGAAGGTGGATGAGACTGAACGAAATCTTCCCTCAGTACCTTGCTATAGACTAACTGCTATAGCTGCCCCTTTAATGAATCATTTGAAGGTGTGTTAATTCTGTTATATTAAAGTAAATATTCCGAAACTATTTTTCTGATTTTTCCGGAAATACCTCTCCGGAAACTTTTTCTGATTTTTCCGGAAATATTAATTAAATTCCGATTCTCCCGGGAATATTTTCCGGAAAAGTTCTTTCCGGTAGGAATGTTTAATATTCTTGAGTTTTAACTAAATTCTGATTTTTTCCGGAAATACATATCTTTTTAATTTTTCCGGAAACATTTTTCTGGTATCATTTAAAATATTAAATTCTGATTTTTCCAGAAATGTTTTTCCTGAAACTTTTGTTTAATTTTCCGGAGATATTAATTAAATTCTGGTTCTCCCGGTTATATTTTCCGGAAAAAGTCTATCCGGAAAAATGTTAATACATATTCTTGAATTTTAACTAAATTCTGATTTTTCCGGAAAATTGTTAATTTTCTTATATATTTAATTCTGATTTCTCCGGAAATATTTTTGTAATTTTCCGGAAACATCTTTCTGGTATCAATTAAAATATTAAATTCTGATTTTTCCGGAATGTTTATTAATTATTAATTCTGATTTTTTTCTCCTCCATTTACTTATTATTTTTTCCAGGCATTGCTTCAAGTTATTCAAGACCAGTCAACTGAAATTCAAAGACTAAAGGTAACTTCCATTATTATATTTTTTGAACTTAATTTTTTATCAGGAGACAGAACAAAATACTTCCCGTAAAACTGCCAGTGAAGAAACACTAGTGAAATCTGATGGTTGTGGTGGTCAGAGTCCTGTTAGTAGTAGATCTGTTGCTGCCCCAAGAAGTACTCCCCATCTAACGGCTTTGAGGGCTACACCTTCTAATTGCTCATCTTCTTCTTCGCCTACATCAGTGCCATTTGAATGAATAAAAATATTTTTTAATCTTTTTCAATTTTGTTTTATGCAATATTCCGACAATCCCATTAAATATGTACCTAAAGGTCAACTCTAAAAGGCACTCCAAATATTTGGGCGGATATAAGGGAAGAATGCGTTGTGTTGAATTTTCGTCTTCTCTCCCTTAATCCAATTAAAAAAACCAAGAAATTCATAAATAACCCTTCTTAATACTATCTAATCTCGTAAAGCATATAGCTATTTAATTCATATTACTGTGCTGTAGGCGGCGTGGTGTAATGGCTAACACATCAGTCCGGTCTACTGAAGATACTCGTTCGCTTCAACAGCCGAATAAACTTTTGCACTAGCTAAAGGAGAGAAATAGTTATAGCCCAGCTGCTTTACTGTCTTTTGGAGTTGACTATTTGGAGTTGACCTTTAAGGCCATTTGATCTTTCTTGACCTTCTGGCTTTGACCTACCAGGTTTATCCTATACCTATTTAATTTAATTATTCTCTTATTTTTTTGTTCGTCTAATCAGCACTTCAATATTGATATTTTTTAATTCAAAAAATAATTTCCTCAAAATTCTATACAATTATTTAATTTTAGTCATTCCTGTGCCGGTGTATTTCCTCCCTGATGGATTTATTTTTACTTTTTTAATTAAAGCATTTTCTTCAATTTAATTAAAAACGATTTTAGCTTCATACCCATTTTTAATTTTATTTTTTCGTAAAGCTTTATTTTTTCCATATTTTGTGTGTATAAATCTTTAAGTATCGTTTTGTTTCTCCAAAAGTTCCCTTCATTCTCCCAATTTTGTAAGCATGTTAATCACTCCTAGAGGCGCAGGAACACTTTAGTTCGAAAGCATTCTACTATCTAGATCCAATATTGGGAGGGGTATCACTTAGAACCAGTGTTTGGAAGCTAATACCAAAATTTATGCTCGTACCTGTGTACGAATACTAGGCGTGTCCGGACAAAATATCGAATCGTTAAAATATGGAATAGGCTAAAAAAGGGTTAAAATCTCGAATCGGGTAAAAATGGGTTAAAATCGCGAATAGGCTAAAAAGGGGTCAAAATGTGGAATCGTTAAAATATGGAATGGTTAAAATCGCGAATAGGCTAAAAAGGGGTTAAAATACCGAATCGTTAAAATATCGAATTGATAAAATGTCGACACGGCCAAAATGGGTCAAAATGTCGAATTTTTTTTAAAAATGGCGCCAAAACCTAAAATCCGGGCGTTACCGTAATACCGACGGTATTTTTCGGTATTCCGTTTCGGTAGTACGGTACGGAATGCCGACCGATAAAATTTAAAAGCTGATCGGTATTTTTCGGTATTCCGTACCGTATACGGTAAGGTACAAAATTTAGGTCTTAACTAAAAACTAGTGACGCTACTCTAATTTTTCCGTATCGGGATCCTGTTGTGTTTTCCGGATCCGTACGATCATGCCGGACCGGATCCGGTCGATTATGCTTGATTTAACCGGTCCGGTTTTACTCCGTAAAATACACTGAACTCAGGAGAAAAGATTACGCCGGACTAAGACTTACCAAACTTTTCAACCAACTTATCAGCAGTAAGTTGATAGGTTGATAAAATTATCAACAATCAACGTATGGCACTCATCTGAACCTTTTTTAAAGGAATTCGACATTTTGACCCATTTTGGCCGTGTCGACATTTTATCAATTCGATATTTTGACGATTCCATATTTTAACCCTTTTTTACCCGTTTCGATATTTTAACCATTCCATATTTTAACGATTCGGTATTTTAACCCCTTTTTAGCCTATTCGCGATTTTAACCATTCCATATTTTAACGATTCCATATTTTGTACCGGAGCCATACTAGGATGAGGTAAAAAAGGCCTGTACAAGATTACGATAACGAGAAATTATAAAATTCCAGCCACTGCTTAGAACACTTCCCATACCCAGTGGCTAACTAAATTTTAAAAATATCTCAACTTGAAGTATTCCACCCTTTTTATTTTCAAGTTAGTTCAAAGACTGTCTGATGGATAGCAGATGAGAGCTGCTTCTTAAATTTAATAAAAAAAGACTCCTAAAAATTCTCTCGCTTAATATGAAAGTGCAGCTATTTTTTAAAAGTTTGCACATCTGTTAGTGGACTTGCGAAATTATTTTTTTGAGTAAAGAAATGCCCAAATAAGGCATTCATTCAATTTTAAATTTATTTGAATTAAAAAATGGCTTTTGCTCTGTTAGCTGTTTTTCTGTTATTTTTAATTGTAAACTCTAAAGGTCAACAATTTGTGGCTTCTCCTCAACAACAACCTCCTCAATTTGTAGCCGATCCTGCTAGTAATCAAGACCCTCCTTACGGCCAATTTGTAGCTGACCCTTCTAGCAACCAAGATCCTCCTTATGGCCAATTTGTAGCTGACCCTTCTACTGGCCAACAACAACCTTCTATGAGAGACACACAAGATCAACAACAGCAACCAGAAGTACAACAACCAGCATATAACGGGTGGGATACAGCAATGCAGCAACAGGTGAATGAATTTTCCAAAGAAAAACTCTGAATGAACAAATCCGAACAAAAATCTGAACTTATGGAAAAATCTGATACTTTCAGTCTCACCTATGTCATAACATAAGTGAATGAGACACTCACAGTGGCATTAACAAATTTTGATAGGAGACTTAAGAGAGTGTGACAAACCCTTGGGCAACGATTTTTTAAATTTCATAACACTTATTTGTTAGTGGAGCTAACCAATTTTTAGCTAATTTAAGGGCCACTTAGCTTAACTATGCCCTTCCATCCCAAAGATACTTAAGCAAGATCCATCTATAATTCTATTTTTTCTAGACTTATAATCCGCCTTCTGATAATAGCTATAACAATCAGGGAGTTCAGCCTAACAATAATAATGCTCAGCAGCCAGATACAGCAGGGTCTTCTCAACAAAATTTAGACACCCCAAATAATTATCAACCAAATACAAATCCTAGTAAAGTAAATGAGAACTCTAATAAACAGGATTCACAACCAATTAATAGTGAGGATATTTTTAAATTTAAACAGAAAATCTACGTTTTCAGATCAACCTAATAAAGAGCCAAAAAACGACAAATTTCCACCAAAAGTCAATTTAAATAGCTTTAACTTTAACAATAATGATAAAAATCCTCCTCCATCAATTCCTGAAGGGGAAGATGTCAATGCAAATTTTGTTAATTTTGGAGGAGGAAGTTCTGGTTCTTCAATACCCTTCCCTATGGCTGGAAATGATGGTCTTTTAAAAGGAATTGTTGCCCAGCTACTTTTGGGGAATGCTGGTAATATGCCACCCTCGGGAAATCAGCAAGAACCCTCACAAACGGTTCCCCAGCAACTTCAAAATCAGTTAGGACAACAGACGCCAATTCAGCAAGAAGTGCCACAGCAACCACCACAACAACAATTAGTACAGCAAGAAGTGCCACAGCAACAACCACAACAAATACAGCCACAGATGTATCAACCACAACAGCAACCCCAACAGCAACCCCAACAGCAAGTACCACAACAACAAGCACCACAGCAGTACAACCCAGAACAATCATCATTACAACAGCAACAACCACAACAAGGAGTTCCACAGCAATACCAACCAAAAATGGCGCAGCAATATTCATTCCAACAACCACCACAAGTTCAACAAGAGGCCCCGCATCAACAGTCTGGACAATAACAATTTTCATACTATACTAAACACCACACTTATAAACACCACAATAACCACTGTGTCTATCAACCGGTTTACGAATCTACCGTATATGCTCGAGTAATTACTCTCCCAATTAATCACCCTCTCCCCCCCCCCCACCCCGATTAATTACCCTCTCTAGGGAGAGGCACACTAACCACTTTAGAAGTCTCTCTCAAATAATCCCCCCCTCCAAACATTATCTCTCCCTAGCGAGATGTTGACACAATAACTACCCATGGTAATTATTACTTCGACATATACGGTAATTTTAAAATTGGGAATTTTCTCATATGGTCATTTTGACCAAAATTGGCTTATAATTATAATATAATTTCTACATTATTTTCTATTTATTATTACCACACGTATTAATTAAATAAAAAAAATTTTTTGTTGCTTAATTAAATTTAAAACAAAAATTAATTTTTTTTCTGTAGCCCATTTACGTACTAATTGCATATTTGTTATGTTAAATAAATAAGGAAACAAAATAAAAAAAATTTTTTTGCAATAATTAATTAAGAATAACGTCAACAATTTAATTTTGCTTTTAATTTTATTATTTTTAATTATATGTAGACTGAATATTTTTTTAAATTTCTTAATTTTATAGAGACGAGTTCATTAAGAAGTCAACTTAATTTATTATAGGGAAGGGCTTTTATGTACTATTTTAAAAAGCGAAAGACTAGAAAAATAATAGAATTTGGTGGAAGATGAAAGGCGGAAACGAGCTCCTTCCTGTTTTATAGTCTACTAAGATTGGCGGATAGTTGGAATTCTTTGGATATCCGGATCCGTTATTCGAATCGAAAATTTCCGGATATCCGGCCTTTTTCGGATCCGGACCAACCTTGATCCGCCAACCTTGATCCCTACCCTCGAAGGAAAAGCCAGGTTTATATTAGAGACCGGACCGAGACGTGATTTCGATCGAAAATCTCGGTTATCGAGATCGAGAATTTTCGAGTTCTCGATTCTCGTTCGACACTGCCAGTCCGGTCTCTAGTTTTTATTACCGCGGTACTAACATCAGTACAGAAACGGTACTTTCCGTTACTCTCGGTACCGGTAAGATTTCGGAATTTCGGTCCACGTTTGGCTGGGAAAATCCATTTGCCTAACCCAAGTTTATGTCCATCATCATCTCCAGAACAGTCTCGTTTTTGTATGCATATTGTTTTGGAAGTAGTTCAGATTCCCATAAAAATTTTATTTATAAGTTTAAAGTCCAAAAAACAAATAAAATATATTAATAATCTGTAATGACTCCCAACTTCCCAAAGGCGTCATTAGCCAGTCGGTGGTCTTTTATCAGGAAGCTTTTACATCCCTAGAGCCCTATATTCGAATTATTATCTTCAGATTTGTGCTAGTTGCTCAAAAAATTTATTTTTTAATTTTTTTCCAAAAACTTTGCTAAAATTGAGAAAATAAAAATTATAATTTATTTTCCCATTCAAAAATATAATTTTTCTTTTTATTTTTTCCCTTTTGCCACACCTGTCGTTATTTTTTTTTAATTTTTATTTTTTGTTAATTTGAAGGCATATCAATCATAGTTTACTATAATTTTCAAGCATTTTAGCTTTTTAAAAAAATTATTAGAGAATTTATTTTATCATCCTTCCTTATTTTTTCTTGGTTTCAATATTTACTTTTATAATGTTCATGCTGAGGAAAAGTTCATTGAATGGGAGATGGAATTGAACCATCACGGAATGAGCCCAGACCAGGGCTTTCTGCGGGTGCGGACAAAACGCCTTTTGGATTCCGAAGGCTTATGCTTATCAGATTTTTCTTTATCGAACCAAAAATCTTCGACTCTTGATTCATTGTTTAAGAAATTTCATCCACCTACTTTTTTCTGGTTTACTAAATTCTTGTTTCTAGTCTTTTTTAGTTTCAGTCCAAATTTTAATTTGGCCAGCCAGAAAAAATATAGGTGGAGTTATGATTTATTGGCATTCAATCTTCCAAATCTGTGTTTGGCCAGTCCAACTGCTCATAGATTCCAAAATACAAGAAGTTTTCATAGACCTCCAAACCCAGCTTTGAAAAGGTAAAACGCATCTTTTTAAGGATTGAATTTGGCCGGCCAAATTAAATTTTGCCTAGAAATTGAATTTTCCAGCATCATTTCAACCTCCCTTTTCGTCCTCATTATATATTAAATTCGTTCTTTAAAGATATAAATTAGACTGGCTTCTTTTTATTTTTTTTTATTTTTTCCCGACAAACGTTTTACCGCTTTCTTTTATTTTCCAAATTAATCCCCCCTTTTTTTGTTTTCAAGCTTTAGAAAAGCTACATAGGTATGTACATATTTTATTATATAAATAACAGTCTATTACAATTAATTGGTGTCCTGGAATTTTTTTTTTTATTATTTTTAGAGGAATAAAATTTCCTTGTCCTTCTCTTAAAAATAAGAAAAAATTTTTTTTGTCAGAAAAAAAAATTTTTTTTTCAGAAAAAAAATTTTTTAACGGCAAAAATGCCCAAAATGCCCAATAATGTTTATATTGCAATTTGTGATGAACTATAATTTAATGAAAAATAAATAATGCTTGAATAAACAAGGAATAATTAATGTGCTAAACTAGAGCGCGTTGTGTGTTTGGCTTTTTCTCATAAAGTTTTATTTATTGTTTCAAATATATTAATACTCCCTATATGAAAGTTTGTTTATATTGTATTATAATAGTATGAAAATAAACTTTGAAAAAATAAACTTGGAAAACCCACCCATAAAAATAAACTTAGAAATAAACTTAGAAAGGAATAAACTTAAAAATAAACTTGAATAAATAAACCTAAAAAAATAAACTTGTAAATAAACTTGAGAATAACCTGAAAATAAACCTAAAAAAATAAACCTTAAAATAAACTTTAAAAAACTTGAAAAAATAAACTTAAAAACAAACCTGTAAATACGCCTAAAATAAACTTGAAAAAAACTTTAAAATAAATAAACTTGGACTTATTACAAACTTTTTAATAAACTTAAGTTTGAAAAAATAAACTTGAAAAAAAAAACTTTAATTATTTTTACATATTAATATTTATCCACGTCATTTTACCAACTTTTTCCTTTAAATTTTCTCCCTTTTAATTTAAGCAACTTTATTCTCCCCTACTCCTTTTACTGACATTAGCTTGTCATCAGCAAACAAAATATAAATTTTTTTTAGTCAAGACAGGAAGTAGAAATAATATTTTTATGTAAATAAATATTTATTTTACACGTCTCATTTAAAAGAATTATTTAAATATTTAATGAAATTTAGCCTTAATTAAAGAGAAAATGTCTGTCTCCTTTTTTGGACTTTTCTTTTGACCTTATAATTTTTGAGGCAATTTTGCATAATTAAATAGCCTTTAATTTCTTCAAAAGTCCAAATCCCGTTAATAAAATTTATTAAATTTTATTTTTAAATTTTTTTTAATTTTAAAAATTCAACAAATTAAATATTTTCCCTTCATAAAAATTAATTTTATTTTTTAATTATCCAAGAAAATATTTTTAATAATTTTTTTAAAAAATAATAATCCTCTACCTATTTCTGACCATTTTTAAATAAATAAGCATTAAATTTCCAACATTTTTCTCCCAACTTTATTTAAATACAAATTGTCTTTAAAACTTGTTAGACTTAAATAAGTTGGTAATTTCTTTAAATGGAAATTTTAAAATAAACTTTTTTTCTTCTTTTTGTTTTTGACTATTTTTGGAAACTTTAAATACACTAGGAACTAAATTTACCAACTTTGTTTTTCTATCAACTTATTTTCCAACTTTATTACAACCTTTTCTACCAACTTTTTTTTCCAACTTATTTTTGCAACTTTTTTTACAACCTTTCTCCTTGTTCCCAACTTCTCCAACTTTTTACCAACTTATTTTCTAACTTTTTTCAGCCTTTTTAAACTTATTTCTCCAACTTTATTAAAGCCTGTTACAACCTTTTTACAACATTTTTTCTCCAAAATATTTTTACAACTTATTTTCACAACCTTTTTTCCAACCTTTTTTCTCCAGCTTTCTTCTCCAACTTATTTTTACAACTTTTTTTTACAACTTGAGATATATCTTCCATAAATAAATATTTATTTATTTATATATATTTTAATTTTAAACGTAATCTTCTTAGTTTGTTTCTAGAAAAAATAATTTTATAATTTAAGAAAAAATTAAATGCTGTTAAAATTTATTTATATAAATTTAAACAGATCTATAATTAAAATATTTTAAGCATTCCATAATTAGAAATTTTTGATTTTTGAAATTTAAATTTTAAAAAGGAGAAGGTTGATAGTGGAAATTAGGCCAAAATTTTGATGTTTTCTTTAAAAATTAAAAATTAAAAATCTTAAAAATTTTTTATTTAAATTCAGAATATTTTTAAATTTTATTTCATTTTCAAAAAATATTTTTTCAATTTTTAAAAACAATTTATTTCTAAATCTGACTCTTCGAGTTGCGTTGCTTTTAAAATTCATAACTTCTCAGCGGGTTAACCAATAATTTTAAATTTAGTATCATTCGATAGAGAATTAAACGGGCTATTTAATGCAGTCACTTTAGCATTTTTAATATTTTTTTCAATTTTTTCCAATTTTTTTCAAATTTTCCCTACATCATTAACAACTTTTAGAAATTAAAATTTAATTAAAAAAAAATAATTTTTTTTCTGTAAAAGACTACAAAAATTAATTTTTAAGCATGTAAAGTTTAATTAAAATAAGACTATAAAAACTACAAACTTTGACTACAAATTAAAGTTTATTTTAAACTTTTTACAAATTGTAAAAAAAAAGAAAACTTTTTTTTCTTTAATTGTCTCTTGAATTAATTTTCTAGCTTAAAAAGAAAGTTTATTAATATTTAATAGGACAGACAAGCTTTAAAAGGTTAAAACTTTTTACAACTTTTTTAAAACTTTTTCCCGACTTTTTTAAAACTTTCTTAAAACTTTTCCTGTTAGAACC